TTCGTTAGTAGAGGCGTTCGTTTCCTGAGGGACCCCTGTATTTGCTTTTCCTTTAAAAAGAAAAGAGAATCTACAATTACTAGTAGCAGTCAGTGGGCCAGACTGGGAAACTGGACAGTTGGGAGGTGCAGATGTTTTCCTTTTGCCTGGTGATGCCAGATCGCTAGTTTGTCAACAGTGCTTGGAGGTCTCCAGTACTTGTATGCTTGTAGATTGAAGATGCTGTGGGGGGAAGAGAAGTGAAGGGGGGGAAAAAAGCAGTCATTTCCCAGCACAGTATTGTATAAAACAATAATCCTTGTAAACACATTGGAGGATGCTGGGAACAAAGCTGCTGCAATATAATAATTATTGTGTTATGCTGTCTCCTGGTTTGTCCATATTTGCTTGCAAATGAGAAGACAAACAAGCTAAAATGTAAAGGGAAGGTCCTTTTATTTTCCTAAAAAGCTAGTGAGAGGATAAAGGATTAAAAGCTGTATAATTTTAGTTACATAGGCTATGAAGAAAAAATCCACCTTTGGAAGAAGTTGCCATTGACTCAACTTTAAGCAAATACAACTTTGATAAAAGATTAGAAGAGCTTTGTGGCCTGACAGTCCTTCATCTCGTGTGCCAGCATTTATTTTCCATTTTGGGCTGTTCAGAAAAAGAGACCTGAACTGTTCTTAGCTGTTGGCTACAAGTTAGGAAAGCCATTTTAATCTCCTGCCTGCTAACCTGCAGATAAATATATAGCCTGCTTTTTCATTCAAGTCAGTCACTCAAGTGGCTTTGGTCATAAAACAAATGAAGAAGCCCAGTGCAGGTATGCTACCAATAAAACAATTAAAACTCAGATTGGATTGTAAAGGCTTGGTTAAAACCAGGCCTGTTGGCTATTCTGGAAGGCAGAAAGTGACAATCAAATGTTTTCAACCTGCCTTTTCTTCTGGTAAAAGGTGTCTTCAGAAGGGCCTCTCCTGCAGAACATTCAGGTGGGTTCATAGCAGGAGATTTGCTTGCTTAGATAAGCACATATTCTAAGACAGAAATGGCCAAGTTGGCCCCTGAGCTCTCTTCACCCGTGCCTTTTGTGCCCGCCACTCTTTATGTTTTATTGATTTTATAATAATTTCTTTGAGTGTTGTGAGCGGCCCAGAGTCATTGAGATTTGGGCAGTGTCCAAGTGTAATACATTATTTTTATTAGCATATAAATCCTTCCAAATTTGCTCCAAGCGATCCAGAACAGCTGCTTTAAACCTAAATTTGGGCTCTCATGTCCCCAAATGGCCCAAACGTGGTCCCCCAAATTGTAACGTTGGGTCATTATTTTAGGGTTGCAGGGCTCCTAAGTATGGGAAGCCAGCTGTTTGAAATCTGCTTCTCAGAGGACTCCTGCCTTCACTTCCATCAGACCCCCCCACCCCTTTAGGTGATGCAAATATATGGCTTCTTAAGCGCCCC